GGTATTAGGGGGTTCATGTTTTCTATGATTGACACCTGGGGCCTGTTCTATGAAGCAGGATTACTGCTTAGCGAGATAACTTCGAGGGTAAGTTCGGGGTTTCCTGTTCTACGACGCGGGTTCACTTCTTAGCGAGGCGAGTCTCCATAGCAATATACGCTGAACGGCTAACCTGCTCCGGGGCAGGTTAAGTTCCAGATTGAACTCACCGAGCATAAAAACCCCGCCCACTGACCAATGAGCTCTCTCGAAAAACGGCTTGTCCATTCTTGGAGGATCCTATAGACCTCGGTGCTCGCATTGTCCGAGGAGGAGCACTTCGGCGCGCGAGAGTTTACAGTTACAGAGTTTACCGCACGGACCCACTTACTTTTCCGGATGACCACCTTTATGAAAGGCTCATATGGCCGACATATCACACAAAAAATGTAAACACGATAGGAATGAACAAATGAGTGAATTCATCTTGGAAATGAATGGGCATGAGCTGCATGGGCTGTGTGATCACAGACAACATCTCGGTACTATTTAGTAGCAGCGCATGCCCCTTATAATAACCCCGTAAATACTGTTGTTCAGGACTGCTTCCAGACTTGTGCTTCCTACCTACTGTAACAACCGTTGTTCTAGCCCACATGCAACATTTTTTATCTCATTCATGAAACGCTTATATCGGGGACATTTTCGGGGACAGCTTTAGCCGGGACAGATCATCCAATTCGGGGACTGTCACCTTCGTTAAAAGCGCATGTTGAACAGTGCTATTTCAGGGTAATAATGGAATCAAAGATGCATTTTCTGCCAGCATTCCCTCCGTGCTTTTGCAGTGGCGACGGTGTTGCTTTTGAGGTTTGCGATAGCTTTGAATTCTTCATACTTTCTCATGATCGTCTCCTGCTCCTCGTTTGTAAAGTCTGCAGTCCTTCACTCTCCAGCCTGCTCTGACGCTCCAGACTGATCCATGTTCGCGATTGGTCAGATGCGGCGGACTCCGCCTTATATTTGTGCACGCGCTCATAGCACAGCTGGATCCACTTATGAGGTTGATAACCAGCGTCGTAAAACCGCTTAGCGAGACCGCTGGCTACCGCGCTAAGTTGAGCGAGGAAGCTCCAAGGCTACCTCGCTATGTTGAACTTGCTTCGTAGAACAGGCCCCAGGTACAGCCAATGGGCGTTCAGGGATTGCGTAGCTCTTCCGGGGGGATACGCTGTTTGAGCCGAGCATCATCACAGGGACTCTTGGCGACTGCGCGGCCGAATGCGCACAACGCTACTGCACAGCTCTGGTTTCAAGGAAGTGGAGAAAAACCCGGAATTACCGAGAGCTTTTTGGCTTCAAATCCGTATACTTCAAATCCGGAAGGCGGAACCACGGTGTCCATCTTATATACAGTCTATGAGCCACTCCGAGAACAGCACCCTCTGTTGATGGGCTGGAGTATAGGTCATAAATCCTGCCTCCGCCAGCAAAGCTTATGGGACTGTGGACAAATTTTAGAAATTTATTACACAGAACATAAATGTTTCCCCCCGGTTGTGATGTTGAAATGTAGTTACTGTCAAACTGGTTTGTGCTCAAGTCCTCTTTTTTCTGTGCAGCTCCGTTTTTAAAAGTTATCAGGGGGTTCATGTTGGCTATGATTGACACCTGATACAGCCTATGGGCGTTCAGAGATTGCGTAGCTCATCCAGGGGGATACGCTGTTTGAGCCGAGCGTCATCACAGTGACTCTCAGCGACTGCGCGGCTGAATGTGCGCATCGCTACTGCGCAGTGCTGGTTTCAGGAAATGAAGAAAAATCCCGGAAATATCGAGAGCTTTTTGGCTTCAAATCCGTATACAGGCAGGAGGCGGATCCAAGTTGTCCATAGTATATACAGTCTATGGTTCCGACCAACAACGTTCAGTCATTAGCCAGTATAGGCACAGACTAACCAGATTTATTCAGCAGACACCTCCCACTGTAGTAAACTTACCTGTTCAACAGAACTAACTACCTCAAAGCACAAAACATTTTTTTTTTAACTGACATGAGTTTTCAGTTTTTGGCTCCTTTCCTGCAGGTTCATGTCATAAAAATTACTGATCTGCTGTTTGAGTTAACTGGTGGGCTATAATAGTGAAGATTATGACTTACTATGATTCTTCTGCGCTAAAGGTCACACTTTTATAACTCTAATTGTAAATGCTCATAAAGCCGTGTTGTCCTGTTTGTAGCAGCAGGTGCTAGCTCTAAATTTAAAATAGTTCAAAGTTTAACGAACAATTTTAAGCCTTAAAAACATCTCAGGATGAAGTTAGTTCAGTTCGCCACTGTCCTCTAATCATTTTCTCCCGTAAACACAGAAAATTTACTTTAAAGTTACTTATAATGAAATTAGTACATGTGTTCGGTATTAAACGCTTTTACGTCCTCTTCTGTTTCCCTGGAGCAGGAACTGGCTCACTGCTGCCACCTACCGGCACACAACAACGGCAGAGAAAGAGACTGCGCCAACTCTTGAATAAAAAAAATGTTTGGTCATTAAAGGTGGGACATCCACAGTTTATTTAAAAATAGTTAGTTTTAACCACAAAGATGGTCTTATAGTTATATCTGAATTTTTTCTTTTGTCTCAGGCAGCGAGTAAAAATATGTAAATCAAATTAAACAAAAATGAAATAAAATCTATTATGTCTAAACTAAATTAAGATGAGAACAAATATCAGATTAGATAAGAGTAGACAGAACTTTGTTGGGAAGGTTCCTTCAGAGAAATTAAAATTTAGATAACAGATAATTAGATAATAAGAAACAAACAAAATAAAACACAAAAAAAGAAACAAAAATCAGTAAAGGGGAATTATAGAGGTTAACTAACTGAAAGTATAAAATTTAGATTATCTGATTTTGCTTGTTTCTTATTTCTAAACATTCAGGTTTTTAATAGAAATAAATAAACTTAAAGCCTGTTTTCTAAAAATGATAAAAAGAGGGTTACATGTCAATTTATGTTTCATAAATCATACTGTTGCTAAATTCTAACTAAATTGATTATTTAGGACTTATTTGCAGATAAACTGGAATTGCAGAAAAGAAGTAATATAACATTTTTTTTGGATGGATTACCCATCCTCCTCGAACTTTTTAAAAGTGTTTCTGTAAATTAAACAAAAAACAGAATTTAAAAATACTCCACAGATTCTCCCTCACAACAGAAAAAAAGAGTATTTATCGATCATAGCAGGGGGAAAAATAACAAATATATTTTCTAAAGGATGGTTTCTGAGTGTAATGTTTAATAGAAGTCCTTTGATTTTGTTTTAATATTTATGAGGCAGCAGAAAACTCATCTCAGGCCTCAACTTATTCAGTTATCATGAACATATGGCACTTTGCGACAGATCTCATTTGCTACTTTTTACATCCCACAGTACGGCATAGCAGTCAAAAAGAGACTCTCAAATCACATTTCAGTATTCACAACTGAATTAACTGCAATACTTTTAGCCTTACAGTGGGTGCAAGAAAATAAAGAAAAGAAAAATGTCATAATTTCCTCAGACAGTCTTTCCACGCTGAAAAGCACAAGATCAGGGAAGTCGTTATGCAGACAGGACATTGTCTATGACATATTAAATCTTCTTCTATGCTGGCATGTAGAAGGACAAGATATCTCTTTCCTTTGGGTCCCTGCTCATGTAGGAGTCAGAGGGAATGAAAAAGTTGACTTGTTGGCAAAAACCGCAATGAAATCACAGGAAATAGACATAGTAGTAACACTGTCCAAAGCAGAAGTAAAATCTATTATAACGAATCACACTTAAAAAATTTGACAAGAATATTGGCATATAGCTGACACAGGGTTTATCTGTTCAATATCCAAAAACATGTTGGCAGAATAGCTATGCAGGGCAGAAGCAGAAAGGGGGAGACAGTATTTACCTGTCTAAGAATTAGGCATACAGGACTCAGGACTTTGTGATTACTGTAAGACAGGGGAAACAGTATAACATGTACTAATTGATTGTGTTAAACACACACAGAAAAGGCAACAGGTTAATCACCAACTTGAGAAAGAAAATCTGGATCTCACTGTAGAGAATCTGTTAGGGTCAGCATCTGACAAAGTATTCAAGTCATTAATGAAGTATTTGAGGGAGACTGGATTATTGTACAGAGTTTAAATTTGGAGCCTAGTAAGTATATACACTACAGGGCAAAAGTTTGGAAGCAAGATCAGATTTGTACAAAAAAGATCATAGTTTCATATATATAATTTGCAACACAATAAACATGACTATTGTGTAAAGAGTAACTTATCAGAAGACATTTTGACTATAATTATTAGGTATTAGAGTTATTGTTGCTTAGACTTTGTTTTCTTTAAAGTAACCTCCTCTGGCTTTAACAACAGCTTGACATATACCAGGCATTCGTTCCACAAGTTTTTTAAGGTATGTTCCAGGGATTGCATTCCAAGCTTTCTTAAGTTCATTAAAAAGAGACTGCTGATTCGTGGGACGCATTTTTCTGACCGATCGATCCAATTCATCCCGCACAAGCTCAATTAGCAATAGCGGTTCTAGGCACGTGCAAACAGGGCAGCCGCCCGGGGCAGCATTTGTGTCATGACTCATGAGCACTTCCAAAAAAATAAAATAAAAGATAATAATAATAAATCTTAACTGCAAAGCGGTTTTTTATTAACTCTTGTTGTCAAATTGGCGCCCCCCCGCTGCTGTAGGCGCCCCTGCTTGCTGCGAAGGTGCTGCACAGAGGCTGACAGACTGTGTGAGACGAAGCGGGGAGAGAGTCGCGGGGGGACAGCTCTGCTCTGTGTACGCATGTCAGCAGATCAGCGGGAGCGCGGCTGCGCATTGCTACTCTTAAGCCAGAAGCGTTTTTTTAGTTTTTTAATCATTTCTGGAGTCGTGATGAATCAAATCACCGTACCCGTCTGCCTCTGATAGGCGAATAAAGCGCTAGGATCTTGCTATAAGCCCTTCGTGAGGAAAGTAAACAATGACGGAGGTAGAGAGCAGCTTCAGAGGAGAAACATCCAGCAGTGTGAACAAACTCTTCATATGTTGTGCTTTGGCTCACACTATCGCAATTTCTGAGTGTTGCATGACTTTGGGTGAGAACAGAGATGAACACACTGTCAGCCACGTATTTATTCTAGTTTTTAGAGCTGCTTTTGTACTGGCACTATACTGGGGCAGCTGTATACCCTTTCAACACCTTATTTTCTATATTTACATTTGTATTGAATGGGCACTTTATCATGACTGCCACTTGTTTTACAGAAAGCAAATTATTTGTCATTCTCCACTGCAGAGCCTTTACTTTTATTTATACAGCCGCTTTATTTCATTTAAGTTTGTTTGTTCAAGGTTTTCAAAAATGTGATGAAGGTTCGCAAAACTAAAAGAGAGCTTTCTTGAAAGCCACATGTATAAGCTCTCAAATACTTTTTGAATTTTGTTTCTATCTACTACAGAGGCCAACTATTACTATGGAGGGGTGCTCGCCCGGGGAGTAATTTAGTCTAGAACCGCCACTGTCAATTAGAGAAAGGTCTGGAGACTGAGGGGGCCAAACCATCTTTTAAAGAACACCTCCCTCTTCTTTTTTGTCTAGGTAACCCTGACAGAGTTTGGTAGAGTGCTTAGGGTCATTGTCTTGCTGCAAAACAAACTTATGAGCCACAAATCTTAGTCCAGATGGAGCAGCATGGTGCTGGAGGATGGAGTGGTACTGTTCCTTCTTCTTGATACCCTTTACTTCAAAAAAATCTTCTACTCTGTCACCTGCAAAACATCCCCATACCATGGAACTACCACCTCCATGCTGAATTATGGGTGTAACACATGGTGCTTTCAGACGTTCACCAGTTTGTCTGCGGACATAGACTCTGCATTTTGAACCAAACAGTGCAAACTTGTTTCTAGTCATCATAAGTCCAATTTTTGTGAGCTTTTGCCCACTCATATCTCTTTTTCTTGTTCTGTGGACGAAGTAGTGTTTTTTTGCAGATACACAACCCTTCAGACCAGCCTTTCTCAAACGTCATTTCACGGTTGTCAGAGATATGAGTTCTGACCTTGTCATGTTGATTTCCTCCCTTATTTGTGGTGCTGTCTTTCGCCGATTTCTCTTACTGGTGACAATAATATGTTTATCCTCTGCTTTTGTAGTAACTCTCTTTCATCCAGGTCTTTTTCTATCATCATAACTTCCAGGTTCCTCTAGTCTCTTCAGAGTGTAATGGACTCCTTTGTTAAACACCTTTAGGCGTTTTGCAATTTCTCTTTCTGTGTATCCTTCTTATCCTTCCTAAATGTAAAAATCAGTACTTTTGTTTCTTTACTGCGCGTTCTGTTGCCATGGAGCTGAGTTTGTTTCCTTCCTGCTGCTCAAACAGTGAAAAGTTGTGCTTTAAAAATGAAGTTAAGACACCGAGAAGGAAAGGATAGGCATTACATAGGCAAGGGCTGACTCAGGCTGACTCAGGCTTTGAATTCGCATGACTGTTCCCCTCTTGGTGTAAGCTGAGGAAGCACACTAAGTTTCAGGGATATTGGACTAAAAGTCGGTCAAACTGTTTTCTTGTTCCAGCGGAGTTCCAGCGGATGCACACACCCAGAAGCCCCAGCGACTGCTAAGCATCGCTGGCTAGAGGCTGAGCGACCTCCGGTTGCCCCAGCGGCAGCTAACATCACCGGTGGCCCCGGCCGCAGCTTACACCTCAGGTACTATCTCAGGTTCACAGCTCTGTTTTACGACTGACACATGAACCCAGAGTCGTCCTCAATGTCTGCCTCTTTGCTCAGTGTGGCTTGCCTGTAGCCTAGATCTGTGCTAGAGGAATTAGTGAACTTATTCTGGTCAATATGGCCATGAAAAAAAAAATTGGAGGACATTAAGAAATCATTAGAAATGCTGCATCACAATGTTGAAATCATCACCGAGCAACAAAAAAAGATAATGGAACTGATGGACGATGTCAAAACACTGAAACTACAAAATGCAGAAAAGGACAAAAGAATTAGTAATCTCGAACATAGAGTGGCTGATCTCGAACAGTATTCGAGGATCAATGATGTTGTGATCTCAGGTCTAAAGACTAAACTACTATCTTATGCCAAATCTGTGGGGAAGGTGACAGAGGAAAACATGTCAGAAGAAGATCGGGCAACAGTAGAAGAGCAGGTAGTTTCCTTTCTGGAAACCAGAAAGATTACTATAGACCGTAGTTTTATAGAAGCATGTCATCCTCTTCCACAAAGAAATACCATCCAACCTCCAGCTATTATCCTCAGATTCACCAACAGAAACCATAAGATATGGCTACTAAAGCAATGGAAACAATTAAGAGGAACAAATGTATATGTAAATGAACACCTGACCAAAAGAAATGCCGACATTGCAAAGAAAGCACGGCTCCTTCGTAAACAGGGAAAAATCCAGTCAACCTGGACCTCCAGCTGCAAGATTTTCATAAAGCTCAATGGCTCACCAGAAGAAGCTAAGGTCAAAATCATTAGAGATCTGACTGAACTAGATGTCTACCTGTAACCGCGCCATACTACCTGAATGATGATCTATGACTGTGTTCTTCTTTGCATAATCTTACAAATTGTGCATTATGTCCAACCATCTTTATGCTGATGGGGTGTCTACCCCCCATGATACGGATCCTCTAGCTTTTAATCCATTTGACCTAAACTCAGATAACAGAGGTATCTACGATGAATTTTTCAACCCAGATATAAATCTCTCAAACTCAAACAATGTAATTCGATCATGTAAATACTATTCTGAAGATCAGTTCAATGATCTGTCCCGTACTCTTGCTCCTGATGACTCTTATATCCTAAATGACTTTTCAGCTTGGCACTTAAATGTTCGCAGTTTACCAAAAAATTTTGACAACCTAAAAATATACTTATCAACCCTAACTTTTTCTTTCTCAGTAATGGCATTCTCAGAAACCTGGCTTAAGGATGATATCACAGATCTTTACCCTATATCTCAGTATAATGCTATTCATTCATGCAGAAGAAATAAGGTCGGAGGAGGAGTTTCCCTATATGTGCTCAAAGACTACAACTTTACCACTAGAAAAGAAATCTCAGAACCTCTAGAAAACATACGAGTGGAATCTGTATTTATCGAAATCTCTTCTTGTCGTCCCCTTCATGGGAAAAATATTATAATTGGGTGTGTCTACAGACCTCCTGACACTGACCCAATTTCATTCAATGAGGCTCTTTACTCCTCCCTTGAGTTTATAACCAAGGAGCATAAACTGTGTGTTCTTATGGGTGATTTCAATATCGACCTGCTTAAGAGTGAATTACCCTCTACCGTTGACTTTCTGAACAATCTTTACTCAACCTACTTCTTTCCACTGATTCTCAAACCATCCAGAATCACCAAATCATCAGCTTCTCTCATTGACAATATCATAATCAATTCACTTGACTATGAAATCACCTCTGGGTTGTTAATATCTGACATCTCCGACCACCTCCCCGTATTCCAGATCATACATACTAAAGGAAATTATAAACGCAAAAACTCTGACTACCTGCAAAGCAAATCTCGCATCTACAATAAAAAAAACATGGAATCCTTTAAATCTTCCATCCGTACAGTGTCCTGGAATGAGGTCCTCAACTCATCAGATGTTAATGAAGCTTACCAGCTATATTTAACTACATTTGAATCAATTCTCGAAGCTAGCTTTCCGCTAGTCACCGCTATGAAGAGTAACTCATCCAAAGGAAATCCCTGGATGACAGGTGAACTAAAAGAGTACTCTCGTAAAAAAAACAAACTATATCGGAAAGCTATTAACAATCCTACTCCTGAAAATATTGTAAAATATAAGAAATATAAAAATAAATTTACTGCATCCTTAAGGAAGGTTAAAAAAGCATATTATGCTGATAAGTTTACTCAAGCTGCCAATAACATTAAGTCAACCTGGAACCTCATCAACCAATTACTTAATCGAAAAAAAACTACTGCTACTGTAGCTGTTGAAATGATGGGAAAGGATGGGCCTCTACATGACCAGAGTGACATAGCAGAGAGTTTTAATGATTTCTTTATAAACGTCAGTACTTCCTTGGCTTCTAGCATGAAAGACTCAGATGTAAATCCCACAAGTTTCATGAAAGGCACATTTTCAACACTCTCTAGTTTTGATCCTCCCAGTTTAGAAGAGGTCCATGACATTGTTAGGAATTTAAAGGACTCTGCTCAGGGTCACGATGGTATTAAAAGCAGTCTTGTCAAAGAATCTATAGATTACATCATTCACCCTTTAACCCACATTCTCTCTTTATCCCTTCTGTCTGGTATTGTCCCTCGAGATCTTAAAATTGCCAAAGTTACTCCAATATTTAAATCAGGCAATACAAGAGATTTTGGCAACTATCGCCCAATATCTGTTCTACCCTGTTTTTCCAAAATCTTGGAAAAACTAGTCTATGCGAGAATCTCCGACCACTTGACGGTTAATAATGTTTTGTATAATCACCAATACGGGTTCCGCAAAAAACACTCAACTGAGCATGCATTGCTGCAACTTGTCAATACTGTTTCCTCTGCTCTAGATGGGAAAAAAGTTGCCCTTGGTGTCTTTCTTGATTTAAGCAAAGCTTTCGACACTGTCGATCACAAAATCCTCATCTCAAAGCTTAACAGATATGGAATCCAGAATATTGCCCTCAACTGGCTGATCAGTTATCTAGATAATAGAGAACAGTTTGTTCATCTAAATGGTGCTTCATCCACTAAATCCAGTATTCTCTTTGGGGTCCCTCAGGGATCAATCCTCGGTCCTCTGTTATTCTTAATTTATATCAATGACTTACCTATGTCCTGTAATAACCTTCTCCCCTTGTTATTTGCTGATGACACCTGTTTCATAGATGTCCATGCTGACTTTGAGACTCTCATTGCCCGTGTGAATGATGAATTGTTCTCTGTTGCTAACTGGTTCCTGACTAATAAGCTAACTCTTAATATAAAAAAATGTAATTTCATGATCTTCAGCAACAAAAACAAATCTTATCCAAAAGAAAAAGCCAAAATATCAATTAATGGTACTGGAATCCCTCAAGTACCCCACACCACTTTTTTGGGTGTTGTCGTCGATGAGGGTCTAAAGTGGAACATTCATATCAGCGAGGTATGCAAAAGGTCAATGAAGAGCCTCGGTATAATTAGTAAGGTCTGTCCCCTGATCAATCCCTCTGCTCATTTGTCTTTGTACTACAGCTTTCTATTCCCGTACATGAACTATTGTAACATTGTATGGTGTGCAACGTATCCAACTTACCTCAAGAAAATATTAATAATCCAGAAAAGATTCATAAGAATGATATCACGATCCAGCAAACACGAACCTTCGGCTCCTCTCTTTTCTAAATACTCCATCTTACCAATTGACAAACTCAATGTCCTTCACTCTTGTTTATATGTCCACAAATTCAACAACAACAAACAAGCCCTTCCTGAAACTTTCCGAAACTTTTTTACCTTTTCATCCGACCTTCATTCGTACTCAACACGACAAAATGGCCATCTTCAGTTACCTTCATGTAGAACTTCTAGTCATCAGTCTAACATCACTTTCAGAGGTCCGAAACTGTGGAATAATCTTGATGCATCTCTAAAATCAATATCATCCTTTAACTCCTTTAAAATATCATTAAAATCTCATCTGATCATGTCTTAAATACATCATTATCTGTTATGATCATATCTCTTTCCTTTTTATAAATACTTTATTTTCTTTATCACTGTTTGCTGATTTGTCTGTGTTCCAGTCTGTGTACTTAGTTGTCCGCACCTTATGTTTTCTCTGACCTGACAGGAGTGGAACTCTGTATAAGCCCATCGGCTTCGTTCCCTCCTTGCACTGTTTTTAATCTGTGCTAAATAAACAAAATACAAATACAAATACTCAGTTGCTTCTTTCTAGCCATTTTTGGGGTAGTTTGAATGCAGTTGAGATTTATTAGGATTTTTGTATGCAGACTCTAAAAAACCAAAAAGTTGAAGTGAATAATCCAACTGTGATTTGTTTGTTTTTTTTGCTTTTGCACTGAAGTTGTGACTCTTGCAAATGTTTTCAACCTTAAAACTAAGCCCTTATTTTCTTTTGCTGACATATATTTACCAATGGTGTGTTCACATCAATGTATATCTAAAGGTAAATGGAGTAAAAAAAAAAAAAACATCTGATCATGGAGTAAATACATCCCAAATTACATAAAATTCATGCTGGATTTTTAAAAAAGCATTGTGAACAAAAACTTGAAGTTTCTCCCAACTGTTCGGCCTGTAATGGCCTTGCTTCCAAACTTTTGGCCTGTAGTGTATATTATTTTTTAAAATATTTTTTTCTGCTTAATTTCCTGTGCCACACTCCAATCCAGTAGGTGGCGGTAACGCTCCTTAAGCTGGCTGCCAACCACAAATAAAACGAAGAAGAAGAAGAAGAAGAAAGGAACAATGCTGTGTCCGAATTGCCCGCTCGGATACTACATGCTCAGGGCTCTCAAGTCTCACGCATTCAGCGTGTGACACACGCATTCCCACCCGTTCACACGCTCACACGCCACACATTGTATTTCTCACGCATTTAAATGAACATGGTGATGTCCACCAAGTTGCACTTCTTTAACTATGGAACAGGTAGGAATCAACTGAGTTCCTCCGAGAGTTCAGAAGCTGCGTGCCACGCGCAAGCCAATCAAATAAAGTATATCTACTGAACAGCCAATAAAAAAGTAGCATTGCTGTATCCGGGTAGATTTTGATATCTTACGGTTTGACTACAGAAGAAGACAGACACTCGCCGTAATAGAGCAGGTTTTTATAAGGACGAGATAGACCCGATGATTACAGTAAGTCAGTAACCTACACATGCAGAGACCTCAACACCTCATGGCATATAAACTCATATGATAAACTAAAGCCCTATGCTATTGCTATTAACAGCTGTATTGACGGATTTAGCCTCTGTACAGCCATTTCCAGCCATTTTCCCCTCCACAAAAGCAGCATTTCTCATATATCTCAAATATAAGTTCTGATACTCATGACAGTGTAATGCTCATGTACCAAAAGATTAAGTATCTCCATGTTTGTGAAACCTATACTAAAGTACAATTCATCTAAATGCTCCACAGTGCTGATTTTAACAACTCTCCTTCACAACAGGTAACTTTACGACTTAATACTGATATTAATGACTTTATTCTCCCAAATAATAACTTTATTCTTTAAGATTTAAAAACGTTTTTTTTCTAATTGTGCCCCTTATACTCCGTTGTATTTAAGAGATAATTATACTAATAATTATCTTCAATCACGAAAAATAACCTCCACTTTAATTCGAGAGATATTTATATTCCATTGAGATTAAAGTAAATTAAAGATAATATTAAACTTTTAGATATAACCTACCAGTGTAAGGGTTTTTCTAAAGTAAACAGCATTTTAAATCTCCATGGTAACCTGTAACGATGTAAAAACTTTAAATCATTACAAGCAAAAGAGAGCGGTCATTTCTGAAGATCAAATCTGAAGAGAACAGCACGAAAAACTTAAGCAGCTCACGAACTTACAACTTTTGACGGCTTCATAGAAAATAAAACCTCACCAGACGACTAAGGACTCCGACAAACACCTCTAACCAACACCTGAACAGAGAAGACAACATCTACGACATGGAGACTGTAAGAGTTCATGACAATATTATCATACAAACTTTTGTTACTGTCAAGACTTTCGTGATGGTTAAGCGATGCATCGACAAGGACTAAATGTGTGCATGGATATTTACAGTGTTTATGACTTTAATGTGACAGGCATTATCAAAACTAGAAAAAATTGCATTTCCTTGCAGAAAATGCGTGGAAATGCTGAGTGCTGGAAGCTGAAAAAACAATGCTAAACTGCTAAAAAAAAAAAAATGGAGGAAGGTTTAAATGTAAACTTGGTTAAAGAGCTGGAGAAAGAAAAGTAGAAGTTAGATGAAAGTGAAAATTGCTGAAGTACAAATAGTATGAATGTGCTTCATAAATTAAAATTGCATTCATGCTAAATAAGGCTAGAAAAACTGTCTGAAATTGCAAAAAAAAAATGGATAAGGAAGAAAATTACCTTAAAACACAGAAAAGTAAGAAGCGGCATAAGTTTAAGTTGAAGTACTAGAAGAAGTATGATAATAGGTAGTTGTACTAGTGATATTAGTAGTCATGTAAGCAGTAGAAGTAGTTTTAGAATAGAAGAAGTAGAAGTCAAAGCAGTAGAGCTCGTGGTAGAAGTAAAAAAAATATTAAGAGAAGCAAGAGCAGTGGAGGTAGAAGTGAAGATACAAGTTAAAGTGATATAAGTAGTAATTGTAGTGGTAGAACTGGGATTTTGTTTGAAGAATTAAAACATACATAAATAATGGGAATGATTTTGAAGTGGGAAAAATTTTTAATAATTAGAAATCCTAAAGTGTTAAACAGGTTTGAAGTATCAGAAAGGTTTGAATCAGTTTGGATTTGTCTGATGAATTTAATAATGCATGAATAATGAGAATAATTTTAAAGTGGGGAAAAGTTAAATGACTAAAATCCTGAGTACACCCCATAATGTCCTCAATGAGCTGAATTTTTGAAGCCCAGAATGGTTTCTGTAGCTCAAAGTTTGTGGGTGGAGATAGGTGGTGATGCAGACACATATTAAATGTGTGTACATGCAGGTCTTTTAGACACAGACACAGACACACGCACACACATTGCCAGACTCTGTGTGTGTGTGTCTCGTTAATGATTGCATCCTAAACAGCTGTGAGATCAAAGGCATTAACTGACCTACTGTTTGAATGAGAAGCTGCCTCTGGACTTCTTCACATAGCGTGATTTCCTTATATCCCAGAATGAAAATAAGAACATTGTACGAATCCTCCGCCCTTCATGAACACAATGAATGTGGCCACAACAGCAAGTTAAAAGTCCAGACGTTCGGATGGTTATCTTAAAAGTGATGCATTGACATCACATGAAAGTCCTGCCCACCATGTCAAAGACTCTTTGTGCTTAAAAGCAGAAAAGCTCATGTTATTGTGAGAAATCTCTATAAGAGATTTTTTTATGTCTTCTGGGCTATTTAAAGCCGTCAGTCTGAAACTTGTTTGACAGTTTCTTTTATACTAACCAATGCTTTCTTATTTCTTCTTTAAATCTGCACAGAAGAGTCAACCCTTTCCTGTAAAAGGAGAAGCTCCGAGAATTGCGTGCTCGAGCTTCAACAGGAGGTAAGAAACACATTTAACTTATGATGACAGTAAAATGCAAACTCAAATTTATAGGGGTGTGATATTAAAGAGTAGTTTACCAATGTGTCTCTAAAACAATCTTTTACCTCTTTTGCATTTAATATGCAGAGTGTAACATTTGAAACATGACAGAGACCTCCCAGCAGATTATAATCTGAGACAGTTCAGAGTTAAATCTGTGACAGTGCCAGCAAAAATCTAAAGATTCGCAAATTTAGGATTTGATTTTGGACTTACACTGTGTTGTGTTTCATACTCTTTTTGTCACAAGACACATGTATTTATGTGATACATTTCAGTGGTTATTTTAACTGAATAAGACAATTCAAAGGCTTCACATAAGACATTTACTGATCAATTAATCAGTCAGACAAAGGAAATGTGTAAAAACACTAAATGAAATAAAGAAGTTTTATCATCGTTTGCTCTTACTGGGAGTCTCTAGTCAAAAACTAGTAAAGTCAGGTATGATAGATAAGATACTCCTTTATTAGTCCCACAAGGGGAAATTCCCAGTAAGGGAAACAAAGACCATTTTAATTTACTGTGTTTGAAATTGAAGGAAAAACATTTTTTGTATGAGGCCTTTCCCGGATAATATGCATTAAAAAAGCTTTGCTTTAAAAACGCTGTGTCACCTTAAAGAGATTCAGTACTTAGGTTTTTAATGAATAAGTGTGAACAAAGAGGGGGTTCATTTATCAATAACAACAACACAAAAACAGGGAATAACCTTCAGGTATTTTAAACCACTGTGAGTGTGCTGTATTATTTCTGATACATAAAGACTCTTTTTCAGTTTGACTCTGATACTTCCTCAAAGACCATCCAGTGCGTGTTTATTGTATTTTATCGTCTGAATATCACCATGGTTTGAGTCTGTGTGACTGTCATGTGTCTCTGCAGATATTTCTGTTTATAGATTTGTTTTGTTCATTAAAATAACCAACCTGTGTTTCTGTGTTGACCAGTGACACTGCGTCAGAGGCTTCTAACGCAGAAAACTGCTGCCCAACGACCTTTTGGCTGCACAGGCTGTTTGGTCAACCTCTGGTATGTTTCAGAGCTGTTAAAATAAGATCATTTTATAAGTGTGACATTTAAAATCAGACACTACAAATATTTGATACAGTGGGTTTTCATTTTTATATTTGTTGTTACTCCACAGAGAAAAGTCAGAAGTCTAATCAGCCTTCAGCGCAGGTGAGTAAACTGCTCCAACAATCAGCTGTTTATTTGTGCAGCCACAAAAGCTTCTGATAAATGTTGACTAGTCACTGCAGACTCCTTTAAAAACATCACTAGAGGTTGTTAAAACAAATGTCACCACACGGTAATGGTGTGTGCTTGTGTCTGCAGAGAAACCGAAGGAGAAGAAATGGAGTTGTTCTTGGTTTTTGAAGTGCTGTAGTGTAAGTAAAGCATAGGAATACCAGTCTGGACTTCAGTGTTGTTATAAGCATTAGTTTTGGTTTATCTTTCAGTTGATTCTGTTACTGACAAATCAAAATTATTTTTACTCCATTAGAGAGAAAAGCGTGTGTCTCCTCTCTCTGATCATAAAGATCAGCAAAAGCCTCCTCGGGAACTCCAGAGAAGGTAACAAACTCATTTTGTTCACAGGATGGATCAATTTTGGTGTCACCTGATGAGTTAAATCATCACGTGACACAAATCAGGTGTTATCAATTCTTTCTTAAAGCTCCCGTGAGTAATTTTTGGTTTGTGTTGCTTCTTATGCTTCTTTTCATAACCTCTCTTTCAAATTGTGTTAAGTCTTGTTTTCAAACAAAAAATCTCCCTGCTCAATTTTAAAAGTCATTGGTCATCTTCACCTGAGATATTTTTGAAAAAGCCTTTTTAAAAAGCTTCAATTTAGCTAAATCATCTGACACCTACACCCCTGACAACAGTTTCTAACCTCACAAATAACTTTGTAGAGATGAACAAACCCTTCAAAGGTGGTCTGATTTGCTTTTTAAGGCCACACAGAGGCATCCCTATCAATATCAGTCAGTTATAATCGGCTGAAAATTCCCCACAGTTGCTTTAACATGAAGTCACTTGTACATGAAAATCAGTATATCTGTTAAAAAGGCCCGGCCCCTTTTTTTTTCCCCCTTGAAACACACTCACAGTCTGTTCCTCAGTCTTTGAATCATTTATTTGTATATTAAGAAGCGCTGTAATGCTGTAGAATAGCCAACTTGATTTTTTGACTTTAAATTTAAATGAAAAGAGCAGTTTAATACACACTTTCTGTACCAGATTTAATTTGGAGGTTGATATCTCAATAAAGAAAGTTATGGTTTGAGTTAGCTTGAGGTTATCGCTTTCATCCCCTTTTTAACTTTATGTTCTTACTTGGGACATGTTTTGATTGGCATTGAAAGTCAATAAGGATTATTGGCAGTGCTGGTAATGTGAATTAAAAACTCTGAGTGTTGTGTTGGTCAAATCTCGTCTCCTTTAATTCAATCCCACTTCGATCTCAATACTGATTTTTGCTAAAATAACCTTCTTTTCCACGTTTGAGGTCAACTGTAAAATAGGATTCAGTACAAGTATATTACTAGCCCCACACACTTGTAGCTCTTTGCTGTTCATTGTTATTAAGTGGAAATGCTTAATCAGCATTTCCACTTATTGTTCTTCACGTCGGCCATTTTGTTTATTATTATTATTATTAATATTATTCCGCCAATTTTCGTCCGCTTCTAACTCCTTCCTACTTTGTGCTATTTAAACCATTCAAACTTTAAACTGTTCCACTCCTTCAGGACATGAGGGCTCGTACTTTTTACCTTTCTACCTTTTATACTTTTTTTTTTTTTTTTTTACTTTTTGTGCCAAAATTTTAACATTGAAGTTAATGGGGAAATCTTCCAATTCTTCCTTTTCTTCTTCCACCTTCTAAACCTTACAACTTCAGTATACTTTCACATAGAGACCTCATTTTTGCTTTAAAATGTTCATTCACTTCACATGTTCAGTCGACTATTAAACGTGTGTTCCATTTTTTGATATCTTTTACAGTTTTTCCACAATTTAGCACTCAGGGTTTTCAGCAAATTTCAGACTTTATAATGGAAGAGCTAGAGTGATGATGTCATCGCTAGAGTGGAGACCCCCTCTCTGATCGACAAAACCTTGCTTGAATATATCGCTTCTGCGCCCACAAATTTCACTCCACAGCCATAAAAAAATAATCAAAATGGAGGTATATGTGTCCTGCTTCTCACAAAAGAGGTTTCAAATTATTAAATCGTACCCCTCGGCCAGCAGGTGACCAACTGTCCAAATAGCCGAAGATCTCTCCCATTGGACCTAATGTGATTTTTCTCCAAGAAAATCCTGAAAATTGCTCAGGCTCAGACCTATTTAACTCGCTGTTGTGGCCACATTTTTCAGAGTACAGACATGAAAACCACATCATTGTGTTCATGAGGGGCGGAGGATTCGTACAATGTTCTTATTTTCATTCTGGGATTTAAGGAAATCACGCTATGGGAAGAAGTTCAGAGGCCCTAAATTCGATGAAGTTAAGCAGCTTCTCATTCAAACAGTACATCAGTTAATGCCTTTGATGTCTGACACCTGTTAAGATGTATTAATTAAAACACACACACGCACACACACCTTCTTCTACTTGCTGCTTTTGTAATAACCTGGTTATAACCTGTGACATTACCTGGAAATAACCTGGTTATAACCTGGTTATAACCTGAGACATTACCTTGTAATAACCTGGTGATAACCTGAGACAATACCTGGTAATAACCTGGTTATAACCTAAGACATTACTTGGTAATAACCTGGAAATAACCTGGTAATTACCTGGTAATAACCTGGTTATAACCTGAGACATTACCTGGTAGTAACCTGGTTATAACCTGGTTAGAACCTGGTTATTACCTGGTTATAACCTGAGACATTACCCTCTTATAACCTGGTAATAACCTAAGACATTACCTGGTTATAACCTGAGACATTACTTGGTTATAACCTGGTAATAACCTGAGACATTACCTGGTTATAACCTGGTTATTACCTGGTTATAAACTGAGACATTACCTTGTTATAACACGGTTATAACCTGGTTATAACCTGAGACATTACCTGTTATAACCTAGTTATAACCTGGTTTTAACCTGAGACATTACCTGGTTATAACCTGGTTATAACTTAGTTATAACCTGGTTATTACCTGAGACATTACCTGGTAATAACCTGGTTATAACCTGGTTATAACCTGAGACATTACCTGGTTATAACCTGGTTATAACCTGAGACATTACCTGGTAATAACCAGGTTATAACGTGGTTATTACCTGGTTATAACCTGAGACATTATCTGGTTATAACCTGGTTATATCCTGAGACATTACCTGGTTATAACCTGGTTATAACCTGAGACAATACCTGGTTATAACCACGTTATAACCTCGTTAAAACCTGAGACATTACCTGGTTATAACGTGGTTATAACCTGAGACATTACCTGGTTATAACCTGGTTATATCCTGAGACATTACCTGTTTATAACCTGGTTATATCCTGTGACATTACCTGGTTATAACCTAGTTATATCCTGAGACATTAGCTGGTTAAATCCTGGTTATAACCTCGTTTCATCCTGAGACATTACCTGGTTAGAACCTATTTATATCCTTAGACATTACCTGGTTATAACCTGATTATAACCTGGTTATATCCTGAGACATTACCTGGTTATGACCTGGTTATATCCTGAGACATTACCTGGTTATAACCTAGTTATATACTGAGACATTTCCTGGGTATAACCTGGTTATAACCTGGTTATATCCTGAGACATTACCTGATTATAACCTAGTTATATCCTGAGACATTACCTGGAAATACCCTGGTTATAACCTGGTTATACCCTGAGACATTACCTGGTTATTACCTGGTTATATCCCTAGACATTACATGGTTATTACCTAGTTATATCCTGAGACATTACCTGGTTATAACCTGGTTATATCCTGAGACATTACCTGGTTATAACCTGGTTATTACCTGGTTATATCCTGACACATTACCTGGTTATAACCTGGTTCCTACATGGTTGAAACATGGTTGAAACCTGAGACATTACCTGGTTATGACCTGAGACATTACTTGGTTATTACCTGGTAATAACCATAGACATTACCTAGTTATAACCTGGTTATATCCTGAACATTACCTGGATATGACCTGGTTATAACTTAGTTATGAGCTGGTTATAACCTGGTTACTACCTGGTTGTAACCTGAGACATTATCTGGTTATAACCTGAGACATTACCTGGTTATAACCTCGTTGTAACCTGAGACATAACCTGGTTATAACCTGAGACAATACCCTGTTATAACCTGGTTATAACCTGAGACATTACCTGGCAATAACCTGGATATAACCTGGTTATAACCTGAGACATAACTTGGTAATAACCTGGTAATAACCTGGTAATTACCTGGTAAAAACCTGGTTATAACCTGAGACATTACCTGGTAGTAACCTGGTTATAACCTGGTTATTACCTGGTTATAACCTGAGACATTACCTGGTTATAACCTGGTTATATCCTGAGACATTACCTGGTTATAACCTGATTATATCCTGAGACATTAACTGGTTTTAACCTGGTTATATCCTGAGAAATTACCTGGTTATCACCTAGTTATATCCTGAGACATTAACCGGTTATAACCTGGTTATATCCTGAGACATTACCTGGTTATAACCTGGTTATAACCTGAGACATTACCTGCTTATAACCTGAGACATTACCTGGTTATAACCTGGTTATATCCTGAGACATTACCTGGTTATAACCTGGTTAAAACCTGTTTATAACCTGAGACATTAACCGGTTATAACCCTGTTACATCCTGAGACATAACCTGGTTATAACCTGGTTATAACCTGAGACATGACCTGGGTATTACCTGGTTATAACCTGAGACATTACCTGGTAATAACCAGGTAATAACGTGGTTATTACCTGGTTATAACCTGAGACATTACCTGGTTATAACCTGGTTATATCCTGAGACATTACCTGGTTATAACCTGGTTATAACCTGAGACTATACCTGGTTATATCCACGTTATAACCTCTTTATTACCTGAGACATTACCTGGTTATAACGTGGTTATAACCAGGTTTTAACTTGAGACAATACCTGGTTATAACCTGGTTATATCCTGAGACATTACCTGGTTATAACCTGGTTATATCCTGAGACATTAGCTGGTTATAACCTGGTTATATCCTGATACATTACCTGGTTATGACCTGGTTATATCCTGAAACATTACCTGGTTATACCCTAGTTATATCCTGAGATATTACCTGGGTATAACCTGGTTATAACCTGGTTATATCCTGAGACATTAACTGGTTATAACCTGGTTATATCCTGAGACAATACCTGGTTATAACCTGGTTATTACCTGGTTATAACCTGACACATTACCTGAATATAACCTGGTTATATCCTGAGACATTACCTGGTTATAACCTGGTTATAACCTGAGACATTACCTGGTTATAACGTGGTTATAACCAGGTTTTAACTTGAGACAATACCTGGTTATAACCTGGTTATATCCTGGGACATTACCTGGTTATAACCTGGTTATATCCTGTGACATTACCTGGTTATAACCTAGTTATATCCTGAGACATTAGCTGGTTATAACCTGGTTATAACCTGGTTATATCCTGAGACATTACCTGGTTATGACCTGGTTATATCCTGAAACATTACCTGGTTATACCCTAGTTATATCCTGAGATATTACCTGGGTATAACCTGGTTATAACCTGGTTATATCCTGAGACATTACCTGGTTATAACCTGGTTATATCCTGAGACATTAACTGGTTATAACCTGGTTATAACCTGAGACAATACCTGGTTATAACCTGGTTATTACCTGGTTATAACCTGACACATTACCTGAATATAACCTGGTTATATCCTGAGACATTACCTGGTTATAACCTGGTTATAACCTGAGACATTACCTGGTTATAACGTGGTTCTAACGTGGTTATATCCTGAGACATTACCTGGTTATAACCTGGTTATATCCTGAGACATTACCTGGTTATAACCTGAGACATTACCTGGTTATAACCTGGTTATAACCTGAGACTATACCTGGTTATATCTACGTTATAACATCGTTATAACCTGAGACATTACCTGGTTATAACGTGGTTATAACCAGGTTTTAACCTGAAACAATACCTGGTTATAACCTGGTTATATCCTGAGACATTACCTGGTTATAACCTGGTTATATCCTGTGACATTACCTGGTTATGACCTGGTTATATCCTGAGACATTACCTGGTTATAACCTAGTTATATCCTGAGACAATACCTGGTTATAACCTGGTTATTACCTGGTTATAACCTGACACATTACCTGGTTATAACCTGGTTATAACCTGGTTATATCCTGAGACATTACCTGGTTATGACCTGGTTATATCCTGAGACATTACCTGGTTATAACCTAGTTATATCCTGAGACAATACCTGGTTATAACCTGGTTATTACCTGGTTATAACCTGACACATTACCTGGTTATAAACTGGTTATATCCTGAGACATTACCTGGTTATAACCTGGTTATATCCTGTGACATTACCTGGTTATAACCTGGTTATATCCTGAGACATTACCTGGTTATAACCTGGTTAAAACCTGTTTATAACCTGAGACATTAACCGGTTATAACCCTGTTATATCCTGAGACATAACCTGGTTATAACCTGGTTATAACCTGAGACATGACCTGGGTATTACCTGGTTATAACCTGAGACATTACCTGGTAATAACCAGGTAATAACGTGGTTATTACCTGGTTATAACCTGAGACATTACCTGGTAATAACCAGGTAATAACGTGGTTATTACCTGGTAATAACCTGAGACATTACCTGGTTATAACCTGGTTATATCCTGAGACATTACCTGGTTATAACCTGGTCATATCCTGAGACATTACCTGGTTATAACCACGTTATAACATCTTTATTACCTGAGACATTACCTGGTTATAACGTGGTTATAACCAGGTTTTAACCTGAGACAATACCTAGTTATAACCTGGTTATATCCTGAGACATTACCTGGTTATAACCTGGTTATATCCTGTGACATTAGCTGGTTATAACCTGGTTATAACCTGGTTATATCCTGAGACATTACCTGGTTATGACCTGGTTATATCCTGAGACATTACCTGGTTATAACCTAGTTATATCCTGAGATATTACCTGGGTATAACCTGGTTATAACCTGGTTATATCCTGAGGCATTACCTGGTTATAACCTGGTTATATCCTGAGACATTAACTGGTTATAACCTGGTTATATCCTGAGACAATACCTGGTTATAACCTGGTTATTACCTGGTTATAACCTGACACATTACCTGGTTATAAACTGGTTATATCCTGAGACATTACCTGGTTATAACCTGGTTATAACCTGAGACATTACCTGGTTATAACCTGGTTCTAACGTGGTTATATCCTGAGACATAACCTGGTTATAACCTGGTTTTAACCTGAGACATTACCTGGTTATAACGTGGTTCTAACGTGGTTATAACCTGAGACATTACCTGGTTATAACCTGGTTATAACCTGAGACATTACCTGGTTATAACCTGGTTATAACCTGGTTATAACCTGGTTATAACCTGGTTATAACCTGAGACATTACCTGGTTATAACGTGGTTATAACGTGGTTATAACCTGGTTATAACCTGAGACATTACCTGGTTATATCCTGAGACATTACCTGGTAATAACCTGGTAATAACCTGAGACATTACCTGGTTATAACGTGGTTATAAACCACGTTATAACCAGGTAATGTCTCAGGTTATAACGAGGTAATAACCTGGTTATAACCAGGTTATAACCAGGTTATTACCATTTAATGTCTCAGGTTATAACCAGATTATAACCAGGTAATGTCTCAGGTAAAAACCAGGTTATAAACAGGTCATAACCAGGTAATGTCTCAAGATATAACCAGGTTATAACCAGGTAATGTCTCAGGTTATAACCACATTATAATCAGGTAATGTCTCAGGTTAAAACCAGGTTATATCCTGGTTATAACCAGGTAATGCCTCAGGTTATAACCAGGTTATAACCAGGTAAAGTCTCAGGATATAACCAGGTAATGTCTCAGGTTATAACCAGGTAATAACCAGGTTATAAACAGGTTATTAGCAGGTAATGTCTCAGGTTATAACTAGGTCATAACCACGTTATAACCAGGTAATGTCTCAGGTTATAACCAGATTATAACCAGGTACTGTCTCAGGATATGACCAGGTAATGTCTCAGGATATAACCAGGTAATAACCAGGTAATGTCTCAGGATATAATCAGGTTATAACCAGGTAATGTCTCAGGATATAACCAGGTTATAACCCTATTAATGTCTCAGGTTATAACCAGGTTATAACCTGGTTACATCCAGGTAATGTCTCAGGTTATAACCAGGTTATTACCAGGTAATTTCTCAGGATATAACCAGGCTATTACCAGGTAATGTCTCAGGATAAAACTAGGTTATAACAAGGTAATGTCTTAGGTCATAACCAGGTAATGTCTCCGGATATAACCAGGTTATAACCAGGTTATAACCAGGTTATAACCAGGTAATGTCTCAGGATATAACCACGTTCCAACCAGGTAATGTCTCAGGTTATAACCATGTTATAACCACATTATAATCAGGTAATGTCTCAGGTTAAAACAGGGTTATGTCCTGGTTATAACCACATAATGCCTCAGGTTAAAACCAGGTTATAACCAGGTAATGTCTCTGGTTAAAACCAGGTTATAACCAGGTAATGTCTCAGGATATAACCAGGATATAACCAGGTTAAAACCAGGTAATGTCTCAGGATATAACTAGGTTATAACCATGTAGTGTCACAGGATATAACCAGGTTGTTACCAGGTAATGTCTTAGGATATAACCAGGTTATAACCAGGTAATGTCTCAGGATATAACCAGGTTATAACCAGGTTATACCCAGGTTATGTATCAGGATATAACTAGGTTATAACCAGGTAATGTCTTAGTATATAACCAGGTCATAACCAGGTAATTTCTCAGGATATAACCAGGTTAAAACCAGGTTATAACCAGCTTATTTCTCAGGAAATAACTAGGTTATAACCAGGTAATGTCTCAGGATATAACGAGGTTTTAACGAGGTTATAACCAGCTAATGTCTCAGGATATAATTAGGTTATAACCAGGTAATGTCACAGGATATAACCAGGTTATAACCAGGTAATGTCTCAGGATATAACCAGGTTTTAACCAGGTAATGTCTCAGGATATAACCAGGTTATAACCAGGTAATGTCTCAGGTTATAATCACGTTATAACCACGTTATAACCAGGTAATGTCTCAGGTTGTAACCGTTTTATAAACAGGTTATAACCAGGTAATGTCTCAGGTTATAACCAGGTCAAAACCACGTTATAACCAGGTAATGTCTCAGGTTATAACGAGGTAATAACCTGGTTATAACCAGGTTATAACCAGGTTATTACCATTTAATGTCTCAGGTTATAACCAGATTATAACCAGGTAATGTCTCAGGTAAAAACCAGGTTATAAACAGGTCATAACCAGGTAATGTCTCAGGTTATAACCAGGTTATAACCAGGCAATGTCTCAGGTTATAACCAGGTTATAACTAGGTTATAACCAGGTAATGTCTCAGGCTATAACCAGGTTATCACTAAGTTATAACCAGGGTATAGCCAGGTAATGTCTCAGGTTATAACCAGGTAATAACTAGGTTATAACCAGGTGATGTCTCAGGTAATTACCAGGTTATAACCAAGTAATGTCTTAGGTTATAACCAGGTAATGTCTCAGGTTATTACCAGGTTATAACAGGGTATTGTCTCAGATTATAACCATGTAATAACTACGTTATAACCAGGTTACTACCAAGTAATGTCTCAGGATATAACCAGGTTATATCCATTTTATTGCCAGGTAATGTCTCAGGTCATAACCAGGTTATAACAGGGTAATGTCTCAGGTTATAACCAGGTAATGTCTCATGTTATAACCAGGTTATAACAGGGTAATGTCTCAGGTTATAACCAGGTAATGTCTCAGGTTACAACCAGGTAGTAACCAGGTAATGTCTCAGGCTATAACCAGGTTATAACTAAGTTATAACCAGGTTATAATCAGGTAATGTCTCAGGTTATAACTAGGTTATAACAAGGTATTGTCTCAGGTTATAACCAGGTAATGTCTCATGTTATAACCAGGTTATAACAGGGTAATGTCTCAGGTTATAACCAGGTAAAAACCAGGTTATAACCAGGTGATGTCTCAGGTTATTACCAGGTTATAACCAGGTAATGTCTCAGGTTTTAACTAGGTTATAACAAGGTATTGTCTCAGGTTATAACCAGCTAAAAACCAGGTTATAACCAGGTCATTTCTCAGGTTACAACCAGGTAGTAACCAGGTAATGTCTCAGGCTATAACCAGGTTATAACTAAGTTATAACCAGGTTATAATCAGGTAATGTCTCAGGTTATAACTAGGTTATAACAAGGTATTGTCTCAGGTTATAACCAGGTAAAAACCAGGTTATAACCAGGTGATGTCTCAGGTTATTACCAGGTTATAACCAGGTAATGTCTCAGGTTTTAACTAGGTTATAACAAGGTATTGTCTCAGGTTATAACCAGCTAAAAACCAGGTTATAACCAGGTGATGTCTCAGGTTATTACCAGGTTATAACCAAGTAATGTCTCAGGTTATAAACAGGTTATAATCAGGTAATGTCTCAGGTTATTACCAGGTTATAACAGGGTAATGTCTCAGGTTATAACCAGGTAATAACCAGGTTATAACCAGGTTCCTACCAGGTAATGTCTCAGGTTACAACCAGGTTATTACCAGGTAATTTCCAGGTTATTACCAGGTAATTACCAAGTAATGTCTCAGGTTATAACCAGGTTATAACAGGGTAATGTCTAAGGTTATAATCAGGTAATGTCTCAGGTTATAACCAGGTTATAACCAGGTAATGTCTCAGGTTATAACCAGGTAATGTCTCAGGTGACAACCAAGTAGTAACCAGGTTGTAACCAGGTTATAACCAGGTTATTACCAGATAATGTCTCAGGTTCTAACCAAGTAATGTCTCAGGTTATAACCAGGTTATAACCAAATTATAACCAGGTAATGTCTCAGGTTATAACCGGGTTATAACCAGGTTATAACCAGGTAATGTCTCAGGTTATAACCAGGTTATAAACAGGTCATAACCAGGTAATGTCTCAGGTTCTAACCAGGTTTTAAACAGGTAATGTCTCAGGTTATAACCAGGTTATAACCAGGTATTAACCAGGTTATAAACAGGTTATTAGCAGGTAATTTCTCAGGTTATAACTAGGTTATAACCACGTTATAACCAGGTAATGTTTCAGGTTTTAACCAGGTTATAACCAGGTACTGTCTCAGGATATAACAAGGTTATAACCAGGTAATGTCTCAGGTTATAACCACGTTATAACCAAGTTATAACCAGGTAATGTCTCAGGTTATAACCAGGTAATAACCAGGTAATGTCTCAGGATATAACCAGGATATAACCAGGTAATGTCTCAGGATATAACCAGGTTATAACCAGGTAATGTCTCAGGTCATACCCAGGTTATAACCACGTTATAACCAGGTAATGTCTCAGGTTGTAACCAGGTTATAACCAGGTTATAACCAGGTAATGTCTCTGGTTATAACCAGGTTATAACCAGGTAATGTCTCAGGTTGTAACCAGGTTATAACTAAGTTATAACCAGGTTATAACCAGGTAATGCCTCAGGTTATAACCAGGTTATAACCAGTGTTGTTTTTGGCAGGCATTTTAGATTTAGTTTTAGTCTTAGTCATTTTGACGAAATGCTTCTTCGTTTTAGTCCCATTTTAGTCATTTCTATCCTTGATCGTTTTCGTCTAGTTTTAGTCCGACGAAAACTCAAAAGGTTTTAGTCTAATTTTAGTCGACGAAAAGGTGTCTTTTGAGGTTCGTGGTGTTCTTTCCCGGCAGTTTGAAGCCGCAGCATGAGGAAGCTGTGGCTCCACAACTGTCGTCTGTCTCGTCTCCCCGTCCCCGTACAAGACATTGTGTTTTATTGTCACTTGGACTGTATCTGAAGTAGGACCATAAACCATCCCTCTTTTTTCGGCCACCGGGTACCGCTGCTGTGCCTGCCGCCACGGTGTGTGTGTGTGCGCGCGCGCCTCGTCCACTTGCCGCTCTGTGTATGTGTATGAGTGTGTGCGCGCAGCTGTGCGCGAGCGAGGCTTTTGGTGCGTGTGTGATGGGGGCGTGACTGTAAGGACAAAAAAAAGCATGTTTTGAAAGTTTGTTCGTCCACCTAATAACAATTTAGTCTCGTCTCGTTCTCGTCTGACGAAAATGAATACAATTTTCGTCACATTTTAGTCTTTACAGAGCTTTGGTGATGTTCGTCTTAGTCTCATTTTCGTCAAGGAAAAAAGGGGTCTGACGTCGTCATTTAAGTTTTCGTCCTGCCTGACGAAAACAACACTGGTTATAACCAAGTAATGTCTCAGGTTATAACCAGGTAATAACCAGATTATAACCAGGTTACTACCAGGTAATGTCTCAGGTTATAACCAGGTAATTACCAGGTTATTACCAGGTTATTACCAAGTAATGTCTCAGGTTATAACCAGGTTATTACCAGGTGTTGTCTCAGGTTATAACCAGGTTATTACCAGGTAATGTCTCAGGTTATAACCAGGTTATAACCAGGTTATTACCAGGTAATGTCACAGGTTATAACCAGGTTATTACAAAAGCAGCAAGTACAAGAAGGTGTGTGTGCGTGTGTGTGTTTTAATTACTGCATCTTCACAGGTGTCAGACATCAAAGGCATTAACTGACGTACTGTTTGAATGAGAAGCTGCCTAACTTCATTGAATTTAGGGCCTCTGAACTTCTTCCCATAGCGTGATTTAATTAAATCCCAGAATGAAAATAAGAACATTGTACGAATCCTCCGCCCCTCATGAACACAATGATGTGGTTTTCATGTCTGTACTCTGAAAAATGTAGCCACAACAGCGAGTTAAATAGGTCTGAGCCTGAGCGATTTTCAGGATTTTCTTGGAGATAAATCACATTAGGGCCAATGGGAGAGATCTTCGGCTATTTGGACAGTTGGTCACCTGCTGGCCGAGGGGTACGATTTAATAATTTGAAACCTCTTTTGTGAGAAGCAGGACACATATACCTCCATTTTGATTATTTTTTTATGGCTGTGGAGTGAAATTTGTGGGCGCAGAAGCGATATATTCAAGCAAGGTTTTGTCGATCAGAGAGGGGGTCTCCACTCCAGCGATGACATTATCACTCTAGCTCAGGGGTCGGCAACCCGCGGCTCTGGAGCCGCATGCGGCTCTTTCTTCCCCAAGCTGCGGCTCCCAATGGATTTGGAAAATAAATAATAAATACTTAATTGCATTTTATTTTATTTTATTATTATTTTTTTTTTTTGTAATTCTAAATTCAAAGATTATAATGCTCTTGTAACATTAAATAAACTATTAAGGCTGCAACAACGAATCGATTAAGTAGATTCGTCGTGACGAAAAAATCCGTTGCCAACAAATTCTGTAATCGATTCGTCGGGTCTTTATATATGTCCATGGACACCGGCGTGTAAACATCAGCAGGACGCACAGAAAAGAAACAGCCATGGCCGAGGCAGCGGCTGAGAAAAACATGGACACAACCCAACCCAAATCCCGACCTAAAACATCAGTGGTGTGGGAAAACTTCACCAAGACTGAAAAGGAAGGCGTTCAGTGCAACATTTGCAAAGACCGTTTTGCATGGCTCGGGAGTACATCGATGATGCGTGAGCACAGGGCTCTCAAGTCTCATGCATTCAGCGTATGACACACGCATTCCCACTCGTTCACACGCTCACACACCACACATTGTATTTCTCACGCATTTAAATGAACACGGTGATGTCCACCAATTTGCACTTCTTCAACTCTGGAACTGGGGGAAAT